AGAGGCAGCAACTGAAGAGCTCTCTCGAAATGCCATGGATCCAATAAATCATTTTGCTGTTATTACAATTAAGTTTGTTCCTGTTTCCCAAAGCATCTTTTCTATCAAAAAATATACGTTCCTTCGGAGTGATGAATGCGAATCTATCTGTCCAAAACCATACTGTCCTGCAAGGCGTATAGAGTTGGGACATGGAAACAAGAAACGCTTATACTACAGGTGGCTTCGCGCTAAATTCTAGGGCATTTTGGGTCTGGTTAAAGGTCGAGGGTAGAACAGCAGTTGGGCTTAGGGTAAAGGTGGTGGTTAAGCTTACTGTTAGGGTTAGAACACGAAAATATTACCCCTAGTGTAGTATAGCGCAAGGCCACACCATTTTCGTAGAGGCATTTGTATTCCTGTGCCTTGTCGGAGGGTGCATAGTAGCAATTCCGACCGAAATCAAACATCGGCTGTCCCAATCAAAAACTCGAACAACTTGTAAAAAAAGATTACTTATCCCCATCAGTCTGCCACACGTTCCGAACTCCAGGGGTTATTAGCTGTGTCATTTTGTGAATAATTTATACTTAGAACTTTAGAACTCTAAAGATTGGTAGCATAAAAACACATTTTTTCCTTTGGTACTAGCCACTAGCAATAATGATTGAACTGAGCGTGTTTGCGTTCTTTTCAAGTCGGATCGAGTAAGGGGTTTCGCAGCTTTCCACCCTAAATCCTAGTGAGAAAATACTTCAACGTATATGTTTCTCATACTGAATTAAGTACAAAATTCGAAAACCCATCCTGCATTTGATATCTTTTATGGAGACGGCGCAAGACAATGACTGGCTCTTGGGACCGAAATGAATGGTTACAGCTTGTTTTGGGAAATTTATCGTCTGGACGAGCTTCCTTTTTCAGCACAAAGGAACCCAAATGAGTGTACAAAGGATATGTTACTATATTCTAAAAATATTTTCCACTCCGCATCAAGTAATCATGGTGATAATACGGAGAACCGGATGATCGCACATCAAAAATCTTTATGTATATATCTGCCAGTTTTTGACCTGCGAGGAATTATCACAGTAATAAACAGGGTTAACTCAGGCACAGTGCTAAGTTCAATCGTTATGCCTAAGGAAGAACCTTTGTCTTACGAATTGGTCGACATTTGCGATTCTGGGGCGCATACGGTCGACCTAGAAGACGGAGTCCTGGTATCGACGACGGTAACTTTTGTACATTCCTCCCCATCGCTCTCTGTCCTCCAAGAAGGCTATTTCCCTGTCCACATCGTTGCTGGTAGAGCTCACTGTGCAGCACAAGGTAACATCTGAGGAGGCGGATGTCATGGATGATTCACTGGAGGGTGGTGTATAGGCCCTTCGATGTGAATGTGACCGCCCTGGCCAGGGATCCACCACCATACGGCTCTTACGCGTTGGTGCGACCCCGTATAGTCCCACTGCGGGTTGGTACTGAACGAATGTTTGCGTGAAGCCTACCCTGTTACGTTGCTGCGGAACCGCTGGACGTTTATTCACCTTGGCATCGCGTCGACTGAGAGGGGAACCCCTGCGTCCACTGTGAGGTATGTGCGATTCAGAGCCCGAACAAACACAGCAATTACACTGAGTATCCACAGGCGGTTGACTAGTACCTACGTCGCTTGCGGTCTCACCTAAAAGCATTCCATCTACGTAGGAGACCTTGCAAACCGCAGGGGCGGATTTTTGTCTGATCTTCTGTCCTTTCTTTCTCATATTCTCATCTTCTGTCGTCTTTGAAATCCGCACTGATGAGTCTTCAGTTCTCGCTGTTCGAGCGCCGTCATTTTCACCTGCCTTGTTTAGCTTATCCCTGCTCTGACCCTCTCTAGGGCCTTTGGACGCTGAAGGTCCCTCAAGAGCAGTAGAGTGTTTGTTGTTGCCATTGAGTGCGCCAAGGTATTTATCCACTGCCGTACTATCCTCGAAACGAATCAGATAGAGGAGCACAGGGCCGTCTTCCTCACTTTTCTTTTTCTTGTCTTGTGGAACTTGGAGGCTGAAAACATTTGGGTCGGCGGGAATTCTGCCAACGTCACTGACCTCTGCCAGCACGATAGGATACTCCTTCTTAGCCTTTTTGATGCTCTCGAATGCGATCTGCTTGGAGGTGACTTTGGCAGCGTATCTATCTTTGGGATGGCTCTTCTTTTTTTCACTGATCTTTTCATACGTTTTCAGAACGACACTTTCTTTGAGAGGATGTGATGCAGATTTTCGCTTGAGTATTTCACACATGACCAGAGTTCCCCTCTCGCCGTTACCATATCCCGAAGACTGCATGATCATCCGTCCTGTTTTATTTCACTGTTGTCACTCTCTATCTCCCTCTCTCTCTCTCTAAGTGCGAGGCGCACACGCAGAAACGGTGGAAATTGTGGCAATGCATGCATGCTTTCAGAGGCTGAAGAAGGGTCTTAAGATTAGTCAATTGTCAAAAAAGACGGAAATTAGCGGAGACCAATGAGATGGGAGTTTTGACAGTCTGTTGATGGTTTGGGCTCACATGCAACCGCATTCGTCATTTGGCATCCCACATTGAGTCCATAGCTATGCACAGTTGTGGGTGTCACCTTCTAACACATAAATGACTGAGCTTACGGTCACACAATCCGTAGTAGATGTGCTGGTTTATAGAATGTCAATCATAATTTCGAATTGCGTTTTCGTTTGGGAAGATTACTTGAGTAAGCGACTCGTCAGCAAGTTTCGGAAGTGCGGAAGAGCAGGCAATTGAACGAAAGAATTTACGACTAACATTAGTAGGTAGTTGGAGATGGGAGTACTTCTACTGGTTGGCTAATTTTCAGGAATCCCGAACTACGTGGAGGAGAATTTAGTAAGGTCTTTCTTAAGACAGGTGCTATCGGAAAAAAAGTTAGGTTTGAGTTGAGACACCACCTGATCCGGCAACTGTTTAATCTCAAATCTATTTAAGGTGTTTCACCATTGGTGCCACAGATATAGGAACAAAGGCAATTGGCAAAGGGGAAATGTCGTTTGATGGAGGATATGAGTTTGTGGGAATGGAGATAAAATTTTCATTTAAAAGGGTCTTAAATTAAAAGTAACATGTATTAGTTTGTGTCGTTAACCAGTGAGACGCTAGGGATTCCTCTAAAGTACAGCAAAGGAATTAGAAAATGAAGATAGAAAGGAGTAGAGGCAAATGCAGACTACCAAACAGGTCGTTTAGTTTGGAACGTTCCTAGATTATTAGGCCTGTTCCGTAGGCCCACTTTTGTAATGTAGTACTT